CTAATTGAGGAAACAGTGGAATTTTTTCTACCAGAGTGTATTTGACAGAGCAGTTTATTAATTCTGGCTTATTAACTCAAGTTTGGATGCAAGGTCTGTTTCTAGAAAGCTTATGGGTTTTCCTTCCAAACTGAAAAGGATGTTTGTTTGATTGAGTCTTTTTTTTTTAAATGAAAATGAGAAAACTCAGTTACCTTTTTTAGTGAAAAATTAGAAGATCTTGTTTTGTCGTTATTATATTTTTTCAAGGGGGAAGTGCATCTTTCCAGCTAGCTATACCCCAAGTGTTTTGGGAAAAGCAGTGCCATTCTGACTAAATGCAGCCACTCTGAGGGCTGGGAAGTGACTGAACAAATGGAAATCCAGCTCCATCCCACCATACTAGCTCAGCAGGCAGATATGCAGGTTTTGTTTTATTGTCAGGGTCAGTGTACACCCCTGTACCTCACCATCCACTTCTGAACCCTGCTGTGGGGAGACAGCGATTACGACCTTCCTGTGATTGTCTGTCACAGTCACCATCCTTGTCTCTTGGGTACTCCACAAATGTTGACAGAGATACTTCCAGGAAAAGGTAGCTACTAACACATGCGTTTTATTGCTGAGAGCTGAAGCTACAACATTGCCAAATGTGTCCCCAGATGTGTGGTGTCCTGCTAGACGCAAACGTGTCTTGGACTTGAAGGAACTACGTATGTTGGAAGAGCAATAAAGCATGAATATATTCCACTCTCTGCACTTTAAAGAGCATAAATACAGCAATTCATTATGGGCAAGAGTTTTTAAACTGACTGGTGAACTTCTGTGCCTCGCCTCCAGCTGTTCATAATGTGATATCTCGGAGGTACTATGTCTTCTGTGTGCTGCATGTTCACAGCTGAAACTGAATTCTTCTGTCAATGGGGGTCCTTTAGATTAATTCAAGATTAGGTTCTGGAAATTGGATCCAAAATCACTAGCTGCATTTAAAGAAATAATAAATATGACGAAAAGTTTGAAACAATCTTCACTTTTAACTTATGTTTCCCATTCAAACTGTTTTATAGTAATTTTTATCAGTTGTTACATGGTAGAAAACATTAGTAAAAACTGGGCCCAGCTCAGTCACATCATGAGATTTAGAAGAAAATGGTTTAAAAACAATTTCTGAAAATTATAAACCACTTGCAAAATGACAAGTCTTAAAAAAGGTGTTTGCGCTTTTGTGATAGGAAGTTCCCATTAATTTTGAAAGACTATAAGCTGCACCCCACACTTTAAATCATAAGCATAAGAAATATTGCCAGTGCCAAAAGTTCAGGGTGCAAGTATTTACAGGAGTGGCTAAAAAATGAGATTTAGAAAGTAGTTCGAGTTCTATTCACATTTTTTTTCAGTTTTCATTCATCTCCCATTCCATTTTTAAGCTTTCTCATCAACAACAAGTGCTGAAGATTCACTGAAAGGATACCAGTGAGTTGCTTATGTCACCACGTATCTTCAGCAGCTTGAAATTTAAACAGAAGAGCATCATGACGTCTGGATAAATCCCACACACTGGAAAAATTGCCTCCAGTGTAACCTGTAGCCATTTCTATTTCTAACTTTTTAATTCAATATTGTACATGGATGATCATGTTCCTGCTGACAATGACTATAGACTCCTCATTGGCTTGTACAGGAGGAAGATCGGAACATTTCAGGCATGGCTTTATGAAGGAAGTCCCTATGGAAAAATGTGCCTCATGGGTTGGGTACTAGCTCAAGACTCAGAAGGTTATTTCTGCACTTTGCATTCACACAGGCTTCTTATGTGATCTTGAGCAAGACTTTGAAAGTGACAGTGTAATCCTGTGCGTGTGTTCATGCATGTCACCTTTGCGAGGAGTGAAGGAGGTGCAGCTTAGCCTCAGGACTGGTGGTTAGTGGGGCATGGTGGGACAGGTGGTGGAGTGGGGCAGGGTTTGGGAAGGGAGCTGTTTCTAACACTCTAGCAGAGTGGGCTGACAAGCATAGATCCAGGGAGTACATGGTCCTTGCTGCAGGATCACCCAGGACCTGCTCCCTCCCCATATCAGAGCTGCAAACTGAGTGGCACTAGTATCCCCTTTGAGATATTATCATGCCTCTTCATCTCTGACTGTACTGGTCTACCCTTCAGCTTTTTGTTACGACTACTCCTTTTTCCCACCTTCTGCAGCTTCTGTTTCTTTGAGTTCCCAGGGACTTTGGGATGGTGTCCTAACTTCACTGGGGCAGCTCTCAGCCTCTCTGGCACTATAGCTGGCAGAGACTGTTGAAATTATGATGTTGTCTGAGCTCACTGATCACATGGAAAAAGACACCTTGTCCAGCAGTTCCTGTGTCAAGTCCCCATATTGGGAAGCTGAACTTGACTATGACAAGAGGGAAAGTTGCCATGGTATAAAGATGTCTTATCATTGTACCCCTTCACATCTGGGTGAGTTGCTCCAGTCGATAACTCTCCTTGGAGTGGACATTTTACCTCTAAGATATCTCTTTTCACATGTCACCTTGCTATCAGAAGTCTTGTTAGGCTTTTCACTTGCTAGATGAGAGCCCTGTGGTCTTACCATGGAAGCATTTAGAAACCTTTGCCTGGGCACATCTTCTTGGATAAAATAAACAGACTGAAGTCACTCAAGTATTTTTAAAGGCAGCCTATTATTGCAGGCAAAGCTAAGCTTTCTTGTCTTGTGGGATGTCAGAAGTGGACCTTTTTTCAGTGGAAGGTGAAGACTAGGGAAAGGGGTGGAAACTATGACAGAAGGGCAGGAGAGATGCACCTCCTGGCACATTCATGGCTGTGCTACATGCCCTGCCTTCTTCCTCACTGGCAGTTTGGCACAGGCAGAGCAGACCTGGTGCTGGCTGTGGCTGTCAGATCTGTTAAGTGGTAGCTGTCTTTTTTGCCTATGGTGAGAGGTCTCATACAAGGTTTTCACGACTGTTGCAGCACCTTTAAGAACCATTCCTAGCTTTTTAATGTCCTCTGTTTTAATGAGCCCAAACAGTCACACCACATTCAGTGGCAACAGCTCTCTCCCCATTCTTCCTTGCTTTTCTTCCTCCTAAATCTTATTTACTAATTCACCACTTGGGGGTTATGTGTTCAACCAAAGCCCTGAGCAGAAAACCTTTCAGATGCACTGATGCATCCCAGTTACACTCCAATTTGTGTGTGTGCTGAGTCACATGCCTACAACATGAGCTGCTCATTGCTCCCATTTTAAGCCCAGACCTGCAAAGCATATCACATAAGCTGATCCCTCAGCTCAGGTAGAGCCCCAGTGGGTTGATTTGGGTGCTGTACCAGTCATGGGGCCTTTTTCCAGGATCAGAGGCTTTGTACAACATTTGGAGCTTTGCTTATTTTGACAGTCAGCAACTGCCAAGGGAATAATCTATTTGTTTCCTTATCAAGCAGACTAATAAACAATGCTGCATTGCTAAATCTGTCTAAAGGGGAGACATGGCCTTTAGTCTTATTCAGCATCTTACGATTATATCAGCCTGTCTTAGCCAAGTATATTTACATGAAATAATGGAATGAGTTTTGCAAATTCCCCCCCCCCCCCTTTTTCTTTTTGTTTTAAGTGACTGTCTAGCCAAGTTCATTTCCTCTCCTGTCTGAGCTCCTCTCTGAAATATATTATCCCACTTATTAAAAGCCAATAGCACTGTGCTTTGCTTTTCTTCCATGCTTTCAGAAGAAGGGACATGCAGGGGATGCTTGGATTAAGTGAGTGGGGCACCCCAGAGCAGGGATTCTTTATGAATGAGCTCATATCCTCTCTCTGTATGATAAGAGGAATGCCGTTTGCATCCCAGAGTTGACTACATAAACATACACACACTTGAACGGGTGAGCATTTAGCCTGAGCATAAACTGTAATGTCCAAACAAAGATCTGAGTGACAAGGGATCATCTGCCAGCCTTCTGCACAGGCAGACCGCAGCCACTTCTTGGTGGTGACTTACGGTTCCTTCATTCCCAGTGAAATTCATCCCTGCCGGGAGGGGGAGGGAGAGGAAGGGAGAGAAGATGACAGATCCCTGTTTGCATTCTTCAGAGAGAGCAGCTGCAATTGTCTTACTACAGTATGTCAACATGAAATTATGACAAATCAGGCAGGGATGTACTGGCAGATGAAAACAATAAGGAGGAAGCAGAACAGAGGGAAGTTGGGAAGAATTAACTATACCTAAAACTCAGGAGGCCTATACCCCCCTGGTGGAAAATGCCTTTGAAAATGTAACAGGACTGAAGACTGTATTCTTCAGTATGTATATGCATATGTATTCTGTATTCTTCACTGTACATGTAGGTATTCCTGGATGTGACTCAAGGAGTGTATGCCGAGTTTTCTGGTTGGTTTAAATCTGCCACTAAAATTCTACCTTTTTTTTCCTTTTAAACGTTCCATAGGAACCTTTCAAAAATGAACCTGAAAGTAGCCAGAGAAAGGCCAGTGTGTCACCTTTTCCTGTGAATGGGACACAACTAGGATCCCCACAGAGCCAGCTGAGCACCCAGCACTCTTCCACTCTAAGTGGTGCCAGGCTTTGACCTTGGCAAAGGTAAGGGAACCTCCTCAGCCTCCACGGTTACATGGTTTCCTACTGCCCCCCTCTTTTTTTTCCCTTTTCTTTTTCATTAAAAATATTATTGTTTAATAGCAAAGGGAGAACTAGGGTTAGGAGAAAGGCTTCAGCTTCCTGCTTGCCTCCTCTTTTCTGTCTAACAGAAGTCCTTGAAATGAATGTTTCCTTTATTAAAAACTGAGCCTTCTCCAACCCACACAGTTTCACAACACTTGATAGAATGCACATTTTTCCAGTGTCTTTTTTTTTTTTTTTTTAAGCAATGTTCAACAATAAAAAATAAAGTCAGTAATGGGGCCATATTCAGCCTTAGTGTAATTGGGAGCAGCTCCCTCCGGTCTCAATAGGAGGTGCACTCAGTTTCACCAGAGCTGGATTTGCTAGCTCGTGGACACCTCCTGCTCAGGATTGTCAGTGTTCTACTAAGAGTGGCTTATAAACATCCTCCAATCTGTGAGTCTATTTACTTGCTGTGCAGCTCGGCAGCAAAAGAAAGGAGGGGAATGGCAGTGAGCACAGGATCTTTACCTAGAAGCTGGCTTTATTTCCCTCTGCTGGTTCTGCTGCCTCTCTGCCTGCTGCTCAGGGCTGGCTGGCACCTCTGAGGAAGCCGCCACGTCACACCTTGCTGGAGTCGGGGAGAAAGTGGTGGGTTTGCTCTGGAGGGTGGAGGGTGCATGAAAATATTTTCTGTGGTTTCAGTTTGCATGTCTGCATGGAAAAGTCTAGTGAAATGTAATAGGTATGAATCCAGGAGGGTCTGCAGAAATATGTGAGGACAGATTTCAAGGAAACCAGTGCAAAAAACCCAAAACCTTTTCAGGGGAAGGAATATTCCCAATAAGCTTTCAAAATCTGCTATATTTTTTCTGTTAAATTCCACAGGAGTTTTCCATAGGGTTGATCCCAACCTCCCCTCTTCCAGGCTCTAAGCCTTACATTTTAATGAACTGAAAGGGCTTTGCTCTGTGCTCACTTACATTGCATTTATCATCAGTGGCACTTCGCTAGCAGCGCTGAAACCCTTCTGTGCTTGCACTGCTTTCCTGAGACAGTGTGAAGTCCCTGGTCTCGGGTGGATGTCTGAGTGAAAGAGCTGCCTTTCACCTAATTTAGTCTTCAAAATTTCAAGTAATATGACAAACGTATCCTTCAAGATCATATCCTTCCTGTTAGGTTTACTTCCGGATGCACAGTGCCCTGATGTAACCATTCTGCAGATCCACCCCTGGCACCCACAGCCATCTCCTCCTGGAGATCATAAAACCAATGGTGTTGGTGCAATGAATGGAGAGGGAGCCTGTTCTGACTCACAGCCTGGACTCCTCTGCCCTGAGGAGCCTGGTACAGCTGCTCTGTCCAACTGGGTTGTGGCAGTGCCCCTGGAATTAAAGCAAAATAATGTTTATTATTAGATACAGCTTTCTGAAAGGCTTAATGAACCTGACTTCCTTCTTTGATGCCTTGAATTAGGTTAATAATATGGTCCCTATAAAACTCACTTACGGGGAGAGATACCAGGCGTTACAAAGCATGCAGGGTCAGAGGTAAAGGTGAGTCTGGGGCTGGGACAGGTCTTCAAGGCTACGAGGGAGTACAGAGCAGCATCTTGGGATCTTGGTAGCCTGAAGGCTGGAAGCCCCAGAGTTGGTGTGTAGCTGTTTCTGCGAGTTGCATGAGACCTCGCAACACTAAAGAATTGCATGACATGAGGCATCCTTCCAAGAGAGGGGTTTAAGGTGTGCTGAATATCAGAACTTGTTTCTCATACACCCTTTCCTTGTGAAATTTTGCTGTGGTTCTCCCACTGGTGGGGAAATTCCACTACTGCTAATACTAGTTACTCTTCAAAACCCTCTCTCCTGCCTTTTTGACAAGTAATAGCAAAAAGCTATTTCCCATGCTCTGTGCTTTCCTGTATGCACTTTTTAGTTCTTCTCCAACCAGACAGCTTTATTACTTGTGTTTTTATTCCTCCTTTACTCATAGCTTCAAACAACACAGGCTTGTCAGTTTTTTTTTCTTGTGAATCTAATGTGAATGTAGATAAATTCTTGCTAATGTGATCTTAAACTTGAAGGCTACAGTCACAGGCTGTGTTCTGATTCTTTTGTTTTGCTGTCACTGCATAAAAGAAAGGGGATTTAAGAAGAATTTTTTTTGCAAAATATGTTTCCCTGGACTGGATGAGACAGAAGCACAAATGTGTGCTGGGAATCTCAGCAGAAGGATTGGAAGAGTTGCAAGTTCAGGAAGGCTGGCAGTGTGAAAAGATCATATATAGTTCATCTAAAATGCCCCTTACAAAAGAGGATCAGGGCCAGCATTGTCTTTAAACGGTCAAGCCACCTTAGTTTGACCTAATGTTCTATCTGCTGGGCTGTCACAAGCTACCTTAGCCCAAAGACTGTTTACAGATCTCACCTCCCAAAGCTGTTCTTGTACTTTGCTCTGATGATTTAATGTGCATATGTGCAGTAGCCTGTCAAAGGGCAGAGGGTTCCCTATGCTGAGCTAAGCCTCCCTTGGTGCTGAATGAAACACATGGGCAGCTTGCTAACAGAGATCAGAGGCCAAGCAGAAGTGAAGTCTACAACCCAACCTCCAAAGTATAAGCTTGACACAGTCCCATCAAGCTGAGTGTGGGAACGCTGTGATATCACTCCGTCTTTGACATTTGGGAATTGAAGGACAGATGCACAGAATGGCTTGATCAGACACAGGAAACCTACATAGGACCTCAGAACTGCACCCGTTTCAGAAGTCTCTGTCCAGTGTTTTACCGTAAGACCAATCCTCTTCTCAGAACAGTTTTCCCAGGGTCTTGCACTCTGTGCTGCTAACTTAAATTGTAATGAAGTTTAGAAATAATAATTTTTTTTCTGAAAGTTTGATGGCAGCAGAGGGGAAGCCCTGCATGTGTAGGTGAAGTGAAGAAATGAGAATGTCTAAGTGGAGGATTAGCGGAATAGGTGTTTTATCTGCAACACTTTCAGTTTTGCTTAACAACACTAACCCCCTTTTGATGTGCACTTTAATTTCAAGCAATAAGTGCATCAGTGCCTTTTACTTTCAATTTGAATCACAGTAATTTTAAGCTGATTGCAGTCCCATGAAGCACCTACACTCTCTATTCCCCACCTTTGTGAACAAACTCCTAGTATCTAATGATACCTCCATATCTTCTTCCTTAAATGGGAGCATGGAATATTTTTGTCATGATGCACGCATATCTTGATTTATTCCTGAAGCCTGTAGAATAGCAGAAGTCACAAAATAAGCCTGAAATTGTGTGGGTGCATGGTAGATGGTGATGCATTTAGTATGTGATAATTAAAGCAGAGGAAAAAAGTCTGGAGGTTTCTGTGAGGCCATGTTGCCCTTTCAGGAGCAGTTGATAGTTTACAAAGAGGAATTATCTTTCCTTCCCCACTGGTAAATCTGGTGGAATAATAATGTGGTGGTGGTGATGATGATAGTCTGCTGGCTGCTAAGCTATTGTCCTCTTGTTGGTATGTTTGTAGAAACCTGCAATGAACAGGACAAGTCACTGGAAAGCTATTGAAAGATTCCAGACGCTTTATACAGGAATTTGGGTTTCTCCCACAGTTTATGAATCCTTTCCTGTACTGTTCTTTTCAGTAAAAAAGTCCTACTAGTGCTGTCTGAACAAGCCGCATGAGCCAGACCCACTTGTATAAACACAGTTGAATAAAGTTGTGCAAGGTAGGAAATACGCTTGCAAGCAGGTAGTTCCTTTTCTTGCTGTGTTCTTCAGGATCTTTAATATAACAGATTACCAGATTCTTTTTTTTTTTTTTTTCCTTTGGTGAATTTTGGCTTTGCAGCAAAACCTGAGAAAACCTGAGACCTTTGCACTTGTAAGCAGAGAGCATTGAATAAGAAAACCTCATGCCCTATTTCTCTCTTGCAGAGCATGCTCTGGGGCTTGACTGGGTCTTCTGCCACATAGTGCTTTAGTGAGTTGCTTGGTCCATCACATTTCCTGAAAGCCACAAGCAACAGGACCCCAGTGAGGTGGAGTGAGGGACCCATGCTGTTTGCTGTCCAGCAGGAGAGCTCTGAGAAATACTCAAGTTTCCTACATCCCATTGTGAAGGTATGAGAGGCAATCCGTTTGGTACCAAAAAGAAGGGTGGTCACATGGCAAGCCCCACTTTTCCTGTGTCTGAATAGAAATGCAACGGATTTATATTTACTGTCATAATTACCTGCATGTCTTTGGAGAAGTCAATGTCCCTGTGACCCAGTGTCCTCATCTTTAAAGTGGGATAAGAATAAGTCCTCTGTGAGACCACTGTACTCTGTTGGCGAGTCACAGTTCCAGTTCCCTCTCAGACCTCTCCCTTAGCACCTCTATTCTTGCCCTTCTACTCCTAGATTCTCCCTCAAGTTTTGATGTCCCAAATCAATGCTGACTCACAACTCATCCTTTCCCACAACAAATCCCAGCTGCTTGTCCCAGTCCAATTTCTTCTTGACAGTGAGCCCCAATCTCCTTTCCTTATTCCTCACTTTGTTCTTACAATCAGCTAAACTATTTTTGCCAGCATCAAGGAAAAAACAAACTGACAGTTAAATCCCAGGATATCCCTCTCCACTATGGCCAAAGGTCTTGCACAGGTGATGCCTGAACTTAGTTGCGTGGCAAAGTGATAAGCCACTGAAAGCAAGGGCTTATCTGCTGACAGCACTTACAACAACTGACATTTCTGCCTATACAGCAAGTAAGCATCTTACTTTTGGCTGCCCCCAGATACAGCATTTCTATGCCATGTTTCCACAGGGTGAGATCTCTTCTCACCTGTGGCCCCCTCCTGTTCCCATGAGTTGTCACAGCAGCATGATGGGATGGTGCTAGCATGCATGGGGGAAGCCTGAGAAGAAAAGTTAACTGTGCTCTTACAGCTCTCTGAGAAGATCAGTTTACTCTCTGGGATAGTTTTTAATTCCTTCCAAGCTCCAAAAACCTTGATCACCATTGATGACATAATTTGTGCTCTGCTTCCAGTTTCTGTTGTTTCTGTGACCACCTGATTATTTGCTCTCTCTTGCTTGCAGCTGTGTCTCTACAGCTTCTCTGGAGGAAACAGCTGCTGCTTGTCTTTTCCTGAGCCAGGATGCTAGCGCTTTGTGTCTGTTTGATCTGTACTGAAGGCAGTTTGCTTGACACACTGAGATGGGTCCATCACCTTTGACAAGAGCAGAACTGGGGTCCTTCCTTCCTTCCTTCCTTCCTTCCTTCCTTCCTTCCTTCCTTCCTTCCTTCCTTCCTTCCTTCCTTCCTTCCTTCCTTCCTTCCTTCCTTCCTTCCTTCCTTCCTTCCTTCCTTCCTTCCTTCCTTCCTTCCTTCCTTCCTTCCTTCCTTCCTTCCTTCCTTCCTTCCTTCCTTCCTTCCTTCCTTCCTTCCTTCCTTCCTCCCTTCCTTCCTCCCCCTCCCTTCCTTCCTTCCTTCCTTCCTTCCTTCCCCCCCTCCCTTCCTTCCCCCCCTCCCTCCTTCCCCTCCTTCCTTCCCTCCTTCCTCCCTCCCTTCCCTCTTTCTATCATCTATCATCTCTCTTTCTATCATCTATCATCTCTCTTTCTATCATCTCTCTTTCTACCATCTCTCTATCATCTATCATCTCTATCTATCTCTCTCTCTATCTCTCTTTCTATCTCTCTTCCTTTCTCTCTTCCTATCTCTCTTTCTTTCTCTCTTTCTCTCTTTTCTTTTCTCTCTTTTCCTTTCTTTCTTCCTTCTTCCCAGCATGCTGTGGCATTGCTACTAAAAAGATTTTTAAAAAGGGTGGGGAAGGAATGCATTTCAGCAAAAGGAAAGCAGAATAGCTTCTCACTTTCCAGAACAAGTGGCTAAAACTACCTTGTTTCTTCAAAATGACTCCATTTCTGCCACAGAAACTCACAGTCGCTCTGTACCCTTCAATGAGCACACCTTTGGGAGAAAGCATTTTTTTCTTTTCCCCTAGTTCAGCAGCACTACATGATAGATGGAGTTAATTCTGTTGAGTTTTGCATGGCCTTCTTTCTAATCATTAGCCCTTTGAGGAATGTGGAGGAGGGGCCAGCCCCTTCTCAGCAGTTATGGGAAATGGAGACCGATTAGATCATAGGCTTTGCCCTGTCAGTAAATATGTAAAAATGTCAAACATGAAAAAAAAAGTATTTCCATATTGGGTGATGTGTTTTGGGTTGGCTTTTTTCTCAACTATAATTGCTCCAGCAGTATAAGAAGGTAACACAAGGTTTAGATTAGTCAAGCACATTTTTGCTCTATGTATATAATAACAAAAACCCCAGACCTGCCAACCTACCCCCAGGCCTTGGATTTTCAGTAGATTTTTTACTAAAGTTCCCTGTACAGTCCTTAGAGGAGTCTTCAAGTGTGAATTGATGAAGACATGCCTCCTGTACCATTTGCATTTGTACATCTTGAGCTCTACTGCAGCATCCTCTGTCTGAAGTTTATTTCATTAGTGTCCTGCTCACTGGGAGCAAGGACAGCCCCTGTTACCCCTACCCTGGAGCAGCTCAGTTCTCCTCCGTCATGGCAGGTTTTCTTGTTAGTGGGATGCCACATTAGCAGCCTGAGCCCACCTTTCTACTTGCTGTGCAGCTTAAGCTGCTGTGCCCCCAAGTTGCAGAGGGGACTGATCCTGATCTCCTTAATGCATTACTGAATGTCTCCGCTGGTCTTAAATGTCACTGTCAGACCCTGAACAGGGCATGACAGTGTTGTTCCCCATTCTATATCTTCCAAAAGATTTCAAAGTCAGCTCTTAAATACTTGTTGAGGCAAGTTCATAGGCCAGTGTGAAACTATAGAATCATAGAAATTTCAAAGTCAGCTCTTAAATACTTGTTGAGGCAAGTTCATAGGCCAGTGTGAGACTATAGAATCATAGTATGTTTAGGGTTGGAAAGGATCTTAGATACCATCTAGTTCCAACCCCCTGCCATAAGCAGGGACAGGCCCCACTAGACCAGGTTACTCAAAGCCCTGTCCAGCCTGGCCTTGAACACTGCCAGGGATGGGGCAGCCACAGCACCATCCTCATGTAGTCATTAGAGGTAGGTAGTAAGAATTCACCCCTGGGGAGAGCTGTCTTTGTAGTAGCTGAGAAGATGGCTAAACCCTCAATTTGAATAGGTTATTTAGCTTTCAAATTGCTAGAGATAGAAGAGGCAAATCTCGGTAATCTTGAGTTGGAAGGTGCAGACTTTGCCAGTGGTAAGGAGCTACTTCATAAGCAGAAGGATGACAGATTCTGGAGTGGGAGGAGGGGTGAGGGTGAGCTGGGTTGAAGAGGCTTCAACCAGTAACCAGAAGAGCATTTTCCATATGTCAGATTGGAGGCTGCCAGCTTTGCTCATGCTGAATGATACCTTTCCCCATGATTAGTCCCATTGATTTTAGCAGCTCTGCTCACAGAGAGCTAGACCAAACCATGGTGCTTCTGCCCCAGGAAAGGAGCCACCCACTGCTGAGCTACCGCTGGGTCAGACCTGTCTCCTTGCAGCTCTGGGAAGGGAGCAAACCGTGACGGGTCTGTAGTTGGCACAGCACATGCTTCCTGCTGCCAGATGCCTTGGGAAAGGAAATGAAGGATACATCAAGTTCGCCCTTCTTCCCACTTGGGCTAAGGAAAGGGCATAGTCCTCAGAGGCTATTATTCCCCTGTGTGTGAGAAGCAAGACATAGGACACGTTATGGCCCCTTACTTCTTGCATTGGCATGCTGGCCATGATCTGGCCCAAAGTGAGGTGCTACTCTGCATGAAAAAGGGGCAGAGGCTGGCTCTCCATGGCCAGAAGGCTTTACATGGCCCAGAGCATGAGGTCAGTACAAGCCCCTTGAAGAAAGGTGTAGCAACAATGCATCCAGTGCATTTACTGGTGAGCACAAAAGCCATTTACAAGAAGAAGGGGGGGGAAAGAGAAGGAAAAGAAAAAGGCATGCATTTATTCTCAGGGCAGAAAGAGTGTATGTGCCATCGAGCGATCGCCCACTGAAAGGCAAAGAATTGGTTTGTCACAATGCACCATTCGCTGGAGGTTTCAGATCCACTATGATATTATGGCTGACGGCTCAGAGACCTTGCCTTGACTACCAATGTAATTGGCATGGCTGGATACTTTTGATTGAGTTTTAGCTGCTCCCCGGTAAATCTGCTGAATGATTCCGGGGGACCTGTGGGTGTGCAAAGCCCCCATATTACTCACTGACCTGCCCGTCTGGCTTGCTTGTCATGCGATTTACAATAACTAGCACTGTCCTTGTAGCTCTAAGGTAAGAAGTGAAAACCCTTTCTTTTTCTGCTAATTGTTCTACTGGTTTTACAGTTACCAAGCTGTAAAGCACCTCATCACTCTTGTTAATTCTTTCTTCCTTTTGAGCTGCCAGTTAGTAATCAATTATTACCCTTGTCATTCATGCTGCAGCACAGCAGCTGGTCACAAGAAGCCTCTGTTTCATTGGGCTGGAGCCAATCAAGTCTCTCCAGCTGTCCCTTGCTGCTCTGAATCATAATGTACAGTACTTGTTGCTTTACAAGTTCCTTTACCAGACTGCTTTTCTAAAAAAAGCAACCCAAAATAAAATGAAGAAATGTTTTTGCTCCCAGTTCTACCCTCACGGCACATCTGGCTGCTGAAGGGTAAAGTAAACTCCCTAATGCTGCATTTTTATGAGGGGTGGGGGGAAATACTTGATGTTAGCACAACAGATATTTTTGTCATATTCTCCATTTTATGAGATGACTGCATTGATATAAAGACTGCTGACAGATCAAAGGTTTCACTGGTAAAATGATATGAAAGGCAGAGACATTAACATCCATCAAGGTCCTGTTAGGATTTGCAGAACAGGGGTTCTGGGCCTCCCAAGTGAAACCTAGCAGGAAGGTCTGCGAGCCTGCATAGCAAATGAAAAGAAAACAAGAGAGGGCACACAGAATATTGGAGGAGGTAGTGACCCACAAAATAGTAGCAATTCGAGCTGCAAGACACCCTGATTGAATTGCAGTGGAGGCAAACGCTCTCAGGCTTGCTGTTCTTGTTATGGAGCAATGCACCGCTCAGCACTGCAGTCTGAGCTAC